TGTGACTGTGGGGGAGGGGGCATTAGAGTGTAAGCTCCTCTGTACAGAGACTGATGTGACGTCTTCTGTATCGGTCGCGCGGCGCGGGTCGTCTTCGTAGTCCGGCGTTCTTCGTGGTCGGGAGATTTATCGGGTTACGTTTCTGGGCTGAGAAGAATTCGTTACTCTCGCACCCCCGGAATTCGCCTCTGTGAAGGATTCTGCGGCTATTTTTAGAATTCGGGAATGTTTGTTATGTTCCTTCTCGAGGAAGACAGTGAGGATCTGGCGCAGAGCGATTCCCGCCATGTGCTGCGTGTCATCCTGCCAGCGTCAGGTGCCGATTATATTCCCAACGCCTGGATTCTGCCGACATCCACATGACAACATTGTTTACATCCAATACAAGGGAGCAACACGAGACTTCACCCAATTCACACTCCAGATGGAAGGTTTTTGGGGGGTTTTTAGATACGGTGGTAAATTCGGTGTTGTGTTCATCTGCATCGCGGAGGATTTATTCCTTCCACTGTGTATGAGACAACTCTTGTCTTGTTACAGCTGAACTCCGAGATCAGCAGATATCGTCCTCATAGAAGGGTCATGTGTGTGTCTTCCTGGAATCTTGGTGAGCTTTGTGTATTTCTTGTGCAGGGTGACTGGTCTTGTCTCCGCCCCCTCCTGTAATAAAGTCCAGTCACTGATGCTCTCTCTCCATGTACAGGGACTGGTCTTGTCTCCGCCCCCTCCTTTAATAAAGACCGCTGACTGCCGCTCCCTCTCCTTGTACAGGGTGACTGGTCTTGTCTCCGCCCCCTCCTTTAATAAAGACCGCTCACTGCTTGTCCCTCTCCTTGTGCAGGGTGACTGGTCTTGTCTCCGCCCCCCCCTGTAATAAACACAGCTCACTGCTGCTCCCTCTCCTTGTACAGGGTGACTGGTCTTGTCTCCGCCCCCTCCTTTAATAAAGACCGCTCACTGCTGCTCCCTCTCCTTGTACAGGGTGACTGGTCTTGTCTCCGCCCCCTCCTTTAATAAAGACCGCTCACTGCTGCTCCCTCTCCTTGTGCAGGGTGACTGGTCTTGTCTCCGCCCCCTCCTGTAATAAACACAGCTCACTGCTGCTCCCTCTCCTTGTACAGGGTGACTGGTCTTGTCTCCGCCTCCTCCTGTAATAAAGTAATAAAGACCGCTGACTGCCGCTCTCTCTCCTTGGGTGATTGGTCTTGTTTCCGCCCCCCTTTAGGAAGCTAGTCGGATGACCAGCGAAACGTCTTAAAGAAAAAAAAAAAGCAGCAAGTGTAGTTGCCTCGATTTTGCTTTTCAGAGATGTGAAGTGCTCTACGCTGGGAGGAAGAGTTATTGATCAGCCGCCTAACCTAAAGGGACCTGGCTGACCTGATATCAGCGGAGGTAAACCACTCATGAGATGGTGACACCCAGGAACAGTCCAAGCAGGTTTGTCCGGCATGTTCGTTCAGCAGGGCAGCAAATAAACACAGCCCAATGCTGGAGGGTAGTATACAGCAAGTCCATGGCATAAAAAAAGAAAGTATCTGCTCATCTGAGCCAATAACTAAGCGTATGCCAATTCCTGGCAAGCAGGGCACCCACTATTGGCCCCCGAAAAAATAGGTAGCCCATGTACCTTCTTAGTATGCAGTCAGGACTCGGCCTTTTCACGCCGGCAGCAGAGAGAGAGAGAGAGCCCCGAGTCTCAGTCAGTTCACACAGATAAAGGCCTGTGGACAGCTGAGACTTTTATAATGAGGCCTGGCTGCCAGGTAAGATGTGAACCTCGAAATGGAGGCTTTATCCCACCCAAAGCTCTACAAAGCCTCCGGGCTGCAGGAACAACAACAAAACTTAAGACTTTGAGAGAACAAAAAGGTTGTCTTCTTGCCACGTGTATGGGAAAAACCTCGGTGGCACATTGTCAGGGGGTGTCACTGGCCCAAGACGGCGGGAGCGGAACCCACTGGCAGGAAACAGACCTGAAGGAGATCCGCCACAAGGTACAAGAAGGGCAAATCCAAATACGTAGTCGGTGTTCGGTCCGCGTCGAGGCAGGCGGCTTAGGATCAAAAACGAGAAGACAGGCCAAGGATTCGGTAACCAGAAGTAGAGATGAGGGTTCAGGGAGCGGAAGAGGAATCGGGAGCAAGAGGCTTAGTGACTGCACCATATGGGCAGAATAACTCGGCAACATGCCAGGGCTCTGGCTCGGATTTAAACCCAGTGGAGATCAGGACCGACAGCTGGTAGCCGAGACAACCAGGAAGCTTCCCTCTCTAGGAACCAATAGCCCGGGACCTTTAAATTCAAGGAAGAGATACAAGAAAAGCTGCTCTTTAAGTTTGAGGCAGCATTAGGTCACATGACCCCGGCTTGGCGGATACATGGAAGCCACCATTGGCACACAGATCCATCTATAGCTTGCTAAGAAATCAGAAGGCTGCCATTGCAGACACTCGACTGTAATGCATTTACTTGTGGGGGGTCATGGACTCACCAGTTAGTAAAGGAAGGATAAGAATGACAGCCCGGGACCTTTAAATTCAAGGAAGAGATGCAAAAAAAGCTGCTGTTTGAATTGAGGCAGCATTAGGTCACATGACCCCGGCTTGGTGGATAAATGGAAGCCACCATTGCCACGCAGATCCATCTATAGCTTGCTAATGGCAGAGTATTCCAGTATAGTCAATGTTACTGAGCCCTGATGAAGGGGGGAGTGTGTTGGCCCCTGAAGCGCGTCAGAAGTTGTACGTGATCACATCATGAACAATTAAAGCAATTTTAACGTTCGGTCTGGCGCTCTTTTTGTCTGTTCCATGCTTTTGGGTCACATTCCGAGTACGGACCAGAGGTGATCCTTGTTTCACGTGAGCAGCCAAGTCCGGTCGTCGAACGGTTACAGCTTCTCCGTCCTTGTGAATGAAGAAGCGTCGACGTCCCAGCGCCTCTCCACACATGCCTATTTGGAGATCAGTGACAGAGTGCCGCCTCGTAATTGCAGCGCCCGGATTTCCTGAATAAGGCCATTGACATTTCCAGTCAGCCGTCTGCCCCTCCGCTAGGCTCGCCCCCCGCTCCACTGCCGCCCCCCCCGATTCATGTTCACCGTAACGTCCATTAAACGTCTGAAACAATCCGCCGCTTGTCTGTCAGTCCGCACAGAGGCCTGGATATAATTACCGTTACATTTCTCTCCCGGCTAGCGCCGGGCCGCGCGCGCGCCCGCCCAGCGCATTCACTTAGCATGAGGAGGCGCAGGGGCGAACAATGCCTGTGTAGTGGAGCTTGTGTTGTGGTGCGTGCGACGGAGGCCGCGGCCGCTGCGTGCCTTCATTCTTCGCGAGCCAACATGAAAGAGGGATTGGAAGAGCGCCATGCGTCTCATCACTTCAGACACTTAAAGGGGACTTTCTTCTTTTATTTTTTTAAACTTATCCGGATTCACAAATAGTTGTAACATAGAGTAATGGTCCA